TGGAAATGATCTCGTGAGATTTTCTTGCTGATAGGAGTGTGCATGTGATGTCTGGAGCTAAAGCAGCCATTTTGGGGCATGAAGCCTTGTGTTCCAGAGCATGAAGCAATAAGAGTGCAGATGTCTGAAAATTATGGTACCATCCATCATACCATATCCATATGGCTTGCCTCTGGGTTTTGGAAACTTCTAAGTTGAGTCCAAACCCACTGCTGTCGAGCTGTATCCCACCCTAGACTGCCTCCTCTTCGGTCCAGGCTTTGACCTGCAGGTCTACTGCATCGCTGGGACACACGCAGTTTGTCAAGTGAACCACTTCCCACAAGTCCCAGGTGTGATGGGGTTACAGTGACTGGCTCAGAAATGTCCCAGCCAAACTACAAGTGACCGAAGGGCTCCCGGCAAGCCCCACTTGGTCTGGGGCAGGCAGTCTTTGTGGAGCAAAGCAACATTGGAAAACTGAGTCCCAGAACCAACTGCTTTTATGGGGGTGGGGGGGGTGGGGGGTCACCGCTGTCTGTGCTGGGGGGGGGGGGGGGTGGGGCGGGTTTTGTGGGGGGTGGGGGGGGTGGGGGGTCACCGCTGTCTGTGCTGGAGTCCTGGTATGGCACTGTAGAATAATCACTGGACTGCAAGTTCAGTTTGAACTGCAAGACCAGCAGTTGAAACCCAGTAGCCACTCCTTGGAAACCTTACATAGGGTCGTGATGAGTCGAAGCTACTCAATAGCACTTAGTAACAACAGCCGTCTGTGCTGTATGGCTCCTTAGTAAACAGTTTCCTCTGTTTCTAAAACAAAAACCCAATAGGTTTTGGACTAAGAAGCCTCATACATGCACGTGTAGGTCTCAGGGCTCACAAACCTCATTCCTGCAAAGGAGTGAAACTCAGTGAGGGACTGAGGGGCCACCTGATGCCCCCTGTGAATGTGGGACCCCTTCCCTCCAGAGGCTCCACTGCCCAAGCCCACATGGGGAGCCTGGAGCATGCACCAACAGTGATTGGGAGATCCCACTCCCTCCAGAAATGTCCTTGATCAAATCTGTACGAGATTCAAGGAATTGTAAATAAAAAATGCACTGTACCAGAGGGGCCTGTTGTTCCTCAACTGAGACACTCCGATGGTTTTACATGTTCAGACTTCACTGCTCTCGCATTTCAGGGTCCTTCTTGGTGGGGGCATCAAGAGAGCATGTCATGCTTCCAGAAGCAGAGCAAGGAGGATCTGAGCCCCCTGGGTCTTTACAAAGATGGTGGCAGGTCTGAGCTTTCTGCAGGGGTCTGCCTTTCCTTCTGGTGGAAATACATGCATACCTCATTTTATTGCACTTAGCAGATACTTTATTTTATTTTTACAAATCTAAGGTTTGTAGCAGCCTGCGTTGAGCTAGTTTATCGGTGCCATTTTTCCAAAAGTGTGCACCCACTTTCAGAGTCCCTCAGAACCAAGCAGAACCAGCAAGGAGTCTAGAGCGGGGATGAGGTGGGCTCCAGAACTGGAGGAATGGGATCCATGTTGCTGGGTTGTGCATGGAGAAGTTGGTGCGTATTCCGCTGTGCAGATTCACCATGTTAAAAAAAAAAAAAAAAAGCGCAACATACAGAAATACAGTTGACCCTTGAAAAACATGTAGATTTTTTTTCAGAAACAAAATAGAAGTCATGATTTTATTTAAAAAAAAAAAAAAAAAAGAATTGAGTTGCTTGGCAGGTACTGTCCATTGAGGTCTGCAGGCGTGGCCGGCCACCATTTCAAGAATCATGAATCCAGTGCAAGAGGAAAGAAATTTGTGTAGAAATTTGTGTGACAACCTTGCACTTCTTTTGAAAAGTGCCACCAAGTATGTCTGCCTCCCCTACTACCTTGTACACCTCTGCCACCTGAGACAGCAAGGCCAGTCCCTCCCAGTCCTCCTCCCATAGCCTATTGCATATGACCTTGATGAAGACCCTCTTCAGTTCCTGTTGAATCAAACATTATTCATGGATTTTAAATTGTGGAGGGGGGGAGGGGCAGCGGCATTGTTCAAGGGTCAAATATACATGTTTGAGAAAGAGGAAGACCCCCAGGGAGATGGATTGGCCAAGTGGCAGCATCAATGGGCTCAAGCGTGGCAACAGTGAGGTTGGCCCAGGATCAGGCAGTGTTTCGTTCTGCTGTGCATGAGGTCGCTATGAGTTGGTACTGACTCGATGGCACCTAACAACCACCCTTCTGCTCACATACCAGGCCCGAGTCACATCTCACCTGGACCTGTGGAGAGGGCTCTGCCCACAGCAACCTCATGAATGCCTGGCAGACTCGTCACAATCCCTTCTCCTTAGACCCTGGTCAGTGTGTGATGAGCAGGTGGTTCCTGCAGCCATGGTTCTGCTTAAATGTGTGTTTGAGGTCCATTCTCCTGGGCTGATCCTTGGTGTCCCATCCTCACCCCGGTCTTTGGTTCCAGAGGGCTCTCAGGAAGGGTCTGAGGACCAGAAGGTTATTGGGGGAGGGCAAGGCCAGGTGTCCATTGGCCACTCTCTCTGCCAGTGTCTTGTGTGGCTGGAGCATGACTGTTCCTCCAGGGACAGAGCCGCAGGGCAGTAACCCCAGGTAAGCGGCCAGCAGGGGGTGCACGGGGACAGAAGAGTCCAGGCGAGGACACAGAGTGCAGGCATTACTGAGGAGCCCTCGAGACCCCAGATATGCTTCTGGGTCCTCCTGAGATGTCCAGCACTAAGGCCAGCTCTATAGGACACATGGTCCCATCTGACACTCAGGAGTGGACAGGGCCCTGTGTTGGGGTGTCAGTAAGGGTCCTGTGATGGGGTGTCGGGAAACATCCTGTGATATGGTGGTAGAACAAGACTGGGTTCCATGGTCCTGCAAAGCTGACTTCTGGCTGCATCCCGGTGCCTGGTGCCCACTGTAGGGTCTCCTAGAATAGTCAGCCCACTTCCCCGACAAGGAGCCCACCTCCCCAGATGATCAATCCCAGGCTGCCCAAGGTCTTGAGCAGCTCAGTTGAGAAAGGAGAGGAAACCTTGTGTTCACACAGACTGCAGAGCTGGCGGGTGGGTCGTGGCTGTGCTAGACAGGCTGGGTCCCCCAGGTATGGTCTGTGAACTGGGCAGGCTGCACCCATCCCCATGAGTTTGGTGGGAGAAAGAAAAAAAAAAAGAAAATTGATTCAGTAGCCCACAAAACAACCATACAAAACCCTTGGACGAGCCAGGTATATGGACTCTTTGGCTGACCCTAAAGTGGAGCTGCATGGAGGGCACTACAGGGGACAGTTGTGCAGGTCTGTGTCTTCTGATGGGGTGTGCGAGGCTGGGATGAGGAATGGACACCTGCACCCCACCAGTGAGATCTGGTTGCTGCTGGTGCCAGGAGGAGGTCCTGAGTTTCCAAACAAATGACCCACCTGGGTGGGCTGCATTGGGCAAATCTGCTGAAGAGATCTCTTTAAGAAACAAAGGTGCACCTGACCCAACCATGGTATTTTAATGATGTCATATGCATGGGAAGGAGTCCTGGGGTGGCACTGTAGGATAAACACTGGAATGCTAATCACAACGTTGGTGGTTCAAACCCACCAGCCAGTACCTAAGAAACCCTAAACAGGGTGGCTATGAGTTGGAACCAACTGGACAGCAGTTAACAACATGCATATAAAATGAATAACGAATAAACAATTGATGTATTTGAATTATGGTGTTGGTGAAGAATGTTGAATATACCGTGAACTGCCAGAACATAAAAATCTGTCTTGAAGAAGTATAGCCAGAATGTTCCTTAGACATAAGGATAGAGAGACTTCATCTCATGTGTTATCATGTTATCAGGAGGGACCAGTCCCTGGAGAAGGACATCATGTATAAAGTAAGAGAGTCAGCAAAAAAGAGAAAGACCCCCAGAGGAGATGGACTGACAAAGTGGCAGCAGCAAAGGGCTCAAGCATAGCAACGACTTCAATGCTGGCCTAGGACCAGGCAGTGTTTCGTGCTCTTGTGCATCAGGTCTCTGTGAGTTGGAACCTAACAAACCAAAAGACCTGCCTCTCCTACTAGGCCTGTCACCGCCAGGAAAATGCTTGCTTATGAATGGCTGGGATCCTGCTGGCTCAGCCTCAGAGACCTCTTTCTGGCAGAGAAGGGTTTCTTGGGTTCCAAGGTCCAGCAAGGCTGGGTAGGCCCTGAGTGGATTCTGAGAGGAGATGCACTCCCTGGACTGGGGAAGTGTGGTGTCTGAATGCCGTCTGGGATCCTGCTCAAGCCCAGTGTTAGTCAGTCATTGAGAGAGCAGGTCAAAGTCAAGAGTAAACCAGGGTTAAGCCAGCAACGTCAGAGGGGGCTCTGCCCATCACAGCAAGAGGCTGGCCCCTCTGCGCACCATGGTGGGGGGACTGAGTACTTGGCTCCCACATTGACCCCCCCACACTCAGGGTGAGCACGGAGCCCTGGGCAAAGCGCTTTCTGCTGTGACTTTTAAACACGTGTCTGAGGCTGGTTTTGTGACTTTCACGTGCTAGAACACCCCTCCCAGCAGAACTACACCCTAACTTCTTCCTGGGGAACAGTGGGCCTTGGGGCTGGTGCCCAGCGTGGTGGAACCAGGATGTAGAAGACACTGGCACCTTCGATGGCTTATGAGGCTAAGGGGCTGCCCACCTTCCCCTGGGTTAGCCTGTGGGGCTGATGGGAGGCTGATGAGACGCTGTCCTCCTTGGAGTGGCTGGCCTGGCCTCTGACTCTCCTCAAGTGCAGTATGGCGTCCAGACCCGAGAAGGTGACACAGGTCCATGGTCCTTCAGGGCTCCTGTCTACCACCCCTTCAGACTCTAAACCCACAACCCTCCCCAATGAAGGAAATAACGGCTCCAGGCAACAAGCAGACACATGTAGGAAGGAGGGAGCCGGGGTTGAGGTATGTTTCTTTTCTAACAAGATAAATCATTTCTTCAATTGCAGTGACCGCATCACCTAAACAGGCTGTCCTCGTAGGCGGTCAGGGCCTAGGACGGGGTGCTCTTCTTCCCAGGGAGGGATGGTGAAATGATGACATCGTCTGAGTCGTCGTCCGAGTGCACTTCAACCACGGGGGGCCCTGAGAGCATGGGTTCCACTGGACAAAGAGAAGGACACATCAGGACCACTGCCTCTACAGATGGGGGAGCCGAGGGTGGGGAGACATAAACAACCCCACCTCACACCTCATTACAGCCACCCCCTCTTCCAGCTCCAAACTCAGCTCAGGAAGTTCCGGCTGTCCCCAGATCGGAGCTCCACAATGAGGGGAGGCAGCCACTTCCTGCCTGAATGCCTGGCTCGGGTGAGGAAGGGAGCCGGACAGATGAGGTGACACCCAGGCCACGGTGAGCTTCCAAGACATTCTGCCACAATCTCCTCCCATACCCCATCATTTAGGACTTGCTTCTTCACCACATCTGTACTTTTCAAACCCTTCCAACTACCCCAGGAAGCACTGGTAGTACAAATGACGAAGCACTTGACCACTAGAACCAATAGAGGTGCCTCAAAAGATAGGACTGACCATCTACTTCTGAAAGGTCACAGCCTTGGCAGCCCTGGGAGCACAGTTCTACTGTGCACACGAGGGTCACGGTGAGTCAGGATTGACTTGATGGCACCTTACCAGTATCCCCCTGCAGAGGATCTGGGCTTGAGCAGGGGGGTTGGGGGTCTTCTGCCCCAGACACTGACCGGTTCATAAAGACAGAAGTCCAGGGAGCACAGCTGGAGATGACAGCTCAATCTGGCTCAGACTATGTATGTCAGTGTGTTTTTTTCTGTCACTTTTAAGGAAATTAATACGGAAATGGAACCCTGTGAGACTAAAAACTTAAGTTGTTTTTTTTCTCCTAGTCAGACCAAAAAAAGCTGACTGTCCAGCTGGCTGATTCCCTCCTCAGAGAGACACGTTCCCTTGGCAGGAACGGCATGGTAGGGTGGGACCCACAAGCACACGCATGTGCGTCTTCATGCCCTGGGCACACACCTTCATGTACACCCTGTGAATCCCGGCGGCCTCTGCGTGCACACCTATGAACTGTGCACATGAAGTGACTATGACTTATCATCGGAGGCCTCCTGAGAGGGGATTGGTCAGTTCATGGCCCTGGTGGGCGGGCCATGACTTGAAATTAATAAGGGGATCATTCACATGGACAGGCAACCTGACAGAAGTTAGCAGGGAGAAAGGAAGAAAGCAACAGAAAGAGAGTCAAGAAGAGCAATGAAGCAGAGAGGAGAGGAGCCTTCTAAAAGGGCTGCCACACTGGGCAGCATCAATGGTGAGGGGAGAAACCTGTGGCTAAGAGAGCTACCAAGTCACTACACTGGCTGTGAGCTGCCTCACTTAGCACTGGAGAGAGGCTGATGGCAGGGAGATCTACCCTGAGGGGGCTGAGGGGAAGCTCATATTGAGGGGAGGCCCATGCAGAGGGGGCCAGTCCTGAGGGGACACAGGGGAGACTTATCCTGAGGGGGCCTGGGGAGCCCAACCTATGGGGGCAAAGGGGAGGTCTATCCTGAGGGGGCCAAGGGAAGGATCCATCCTTAAGGGGCGGTGGGGGGTGGGGCAACCAGAGGGAGCTGAGGGGAGGCCTGTTCTGAGGGAGACAAGGAGGCCCCATCCTGAGGGGGCCAAAGGGAGGTCCATCCTGAAGGGGGCCCATCCTGAGGGGGCCGAGAGGAAGCCCGTCCTGAGGGGGCCGAGGGGAGGCGTGCACAGTGGTGAGAAGGAAGGTGGAGAGGAGCTGAGCAAGCTGTCCTGAACTAAAGACAAGACAAGAGGAATGTGCTCTCCTCCTTGGGGGATGCTCTTTCTAGATTTTGCCCACACACTTCCTGATGCTGATCCTGAGTTGTCCCTTGTTGATCCTGACCCCAAAGTGAACCCTGTTACTTGCTTAATGGACTCCTAGTGTGGTGCTATAGGATAAGCAGTGGACTGCAAACCATAATGTCAGTAGTTCAAATCTACCATCTGCTCCTTGGAAACCCTATACAGAGTCGCTATGAGTGAGAATCAAGTCGACAACATTTCAGAACAACAACTTGCTTAATAAACCACAAGCATGGTCTGAGAGTTCTGTGTGGCCGTTGCAATGGATTATGGAGCCCAGAGAAGAAGCAGAGAATGCCGTGGGAGGGACAGCTGGTGTCAGAACTGGTAAAAAGTTTATAGTGGAGCCATGCCTGAGCTCCACCTTGTGGGACTTGGCTTTGGGCTGATACTGGTTTTCACGATCACCCATGAAGTCAGGCATGGTCTGATGTCACAGCAACACAGTGGCATTCGTATACCTTCCTTTAAACCCAGTTCTGTCCTTTTTCCTCCATTGAGTTTAAAGATGGAGGAATTGAAGAGAATATCACTTTGCTGTGACAACTCTAGAAAAATTAACTGAAGTGGATAGAGTGTGATTTCAAACACGGGGGTGTTTCACAGCAGGTCTGGGCTGTGGGGGACACTCTCTGAGATGCAGTTCCCCCCGACAGGCCAGTGACCTGGCAGAAACACTCAATTGAGGGTGGCTGTCCTCCCTGCCTTCCCTCTTGGGGCGCTGCACGTACCCACTGTGGGCTCCTCCTCGGGCGCAGACTCTTCCCCGGTGTCCCCGCTGCTGGCCTCGCTGTCATCCTGAACTGCAAAGACCAGACAGTCAGAGCGCAGACCTACATGCTGACAACGCGCAGGATGCGCACTCATCCGCCTAGCTCTAGACTGCTTTTGACTCAGAAGAGCAGCTTCTTTTTGTGGGTTTTCCCTTATCTCAAGCACGATTCCCTCCCCTCCCCAGTCTCTGAACCCATCTTTGAGACCAGAGGGTTCAGCACAGAAAAGTCCCCTATCATAAACATGTCCTCAAGAGACGAGTCATGCTATACCCACAAAGCCCCAAGACCACAGTTCTGTGGTTAAGGACCATCACAAACTGACAAATAGGACCACTTTGCTTTTCTTAGGCACTGCAGGAATGGAGGAAAATGTCTAATGACAGGACAAGGGAGGCAGCTGTCTGGAGTGGAGAGTGACTTTCAGGGTGTCTAGACCAACTGTCACTTGCAAGTTAGGATGCTGGGCCCAAAGGAGAATCCAGGAGCAGCCAGCAGGGGTCACAGCCCCCCATGAGACTTCCCGCCTGGGGCTGACAGGCTACCAACTCCTAGGAACTCCTTCTGGATTGTTTGTTTTGAGACCTGAACAAAGCAGCGTAGAAAATACAAGCAAAGTTTTGCTTTAAAAAGCACTGCTCAGTGGAGCCACCGGCTGATGGGAAGAGAGGGCATGTGCACAGGAGCGCCCACACTTGCAGATGATACCCATGTGACCTGGACC